TACTAGGAAAACAATCAATGTGCCCATTTATAGTGCGCAAAGCAATTCTAACAGCTGATCGGCATTTGTGATTGGTGTATTGTTGTGTTGACTGGTAATTGTACATGAGCGTGTGAATGAATATCATTTAAAATTAATTAATCATATTACTTAATGATCAAACAAAGGATGAAATTATAGTCACCTGTAATTTATGTACATAAAGCATAGAAGAGTGACTACGATTGAATGTGACTGTGAATGTATATTGTAGCACAGGATAGTAAAATCATCTAACGACCCAACGCAAAAAAGCTCACCAAAATTAAAATGTTTTGCCCTATTATATTTTGATTAATCATTATTAGCAAATATAAACTGTACAATTCTTATGGTTGACAAAATGAACCTGTTATAAGTGTATGACTGAAGCCTAAAAGATAAATGTTTATTCCTCTTCATTGTGTGTGTTTGTTTTGTTTTTTACTTTCGGTAATCCGACAGCGACAAACGATGATTACGTGTTGAGGCAACATTCGGACTCCAATTTTCACCTGAAAATACTGGAAGAATACTGTTTCCTCGTACAGTACGGGCTTCATATCTGAGCCCCAAAATTTTGAAAAAAATGTGCGCACTATACGCGGGTATTGACAGAAGTCAAAACGTCAATAATACGGTGAAGACAAATAGACAAATACAAATAAAGCCATGCAATAAACAACAGAGTCAAAATGGTTCTTTCCAACTTTTCTGACAGTAAAAAGCTTCAACGTTTCACCTTACGGCTTTATCGAGAGGTATCTGTCCTACAAAACAAAACAGCTGTTCCGATCCATCTCACTAGTACCTTTGTTCTTCTTAACAAGTTGGACTCCAGCATTGATAAAATCACCGATAAGAGCATCGTTTTTTCTTTTGACGTATGTAATCTATACCCATCCATTTAAATCCATGAGGGAATTGACATTGTTGTGTCCTTTTTCACTAATGTGGATCTCCATGGGGTCTATCTACTTGATGTGCGCAGACTTTTGGATTTTGTTTTACCTAATAATGTTTTCGGGTTTGGAGAACAGATTTACAATCAGACGCAAGGAAGAGTAGCCATGATAATATGGTGGCTGTAGCTTCTGCTATAATTTTCATGTTTACCATTGAGAGTAAAGCAACCCGCGATTGAACACTGGACGGAGCAAAATCTTCTGCACTATGTCTGCATTTTATTGAGATAGTTATGGGATTGGGAATGGTGATTTTAGCAGATTAATTCTCTTTCATCAGTTCCTTAACCAGGTTCACGATAATATCAAGTTTACTTTCGAATTTGCTCTACCTGGTGAGCACTTACAATTTCTAAACACTTCCATGGCTGTATTTGATGGTAAGGTGGTTAGTAAAGTATATAAAAACCCTAAAAAGCCGCTTCTTCCACATTTCCTCTCTCGTCACTCATGAGTCACGAAAAAGGCTATGAATTTTAGCCAATTAATGCAACATACACGTATTTGTAATAATCGTGGTAGATTAATGAAGGAAAAGAGTCAAGAATAACGTATTGCATTTCTAATACCATTTACTAAAATTTACCATCGCCTAAGAATAGAAGTTGGTGGTTTTTATTGATCTTCAGTAGTGCATTTAAAATTTGGATTCTAATGTTAAGATAGTTATAAAACAATTTCTACAGCATTTCTGAAGCTAATAAAGTTATTATCTACATATCTTCTATAATATGCTGATTTAAACTGAGAAGGATATTCTTCAAGTCAGCATTTTTCATTGTGATACAGGGACAAATTAACGAGTGACGGATTTAATCTACATCCTATAGCAACACCATCAACTCGGCTATATATATGTCGTTGTTGAATACAAAATAAGATTCTTTGGTGGCAAAATTCATGTTTCTGAAACAGATGCTGAGGAAGTTTTAGTTTATCATTGTCTTTGTAATACAACAGTTCAGTACATAAATTTATAGTCTTATCTAGAGGTATGTCAACGTAAATGGATACTATATCAAAATTAGCATTATTAAAATCAAAATGTTTATATCTAGAGAAAATTCAAAGCTATCTTTCATAGTATAATAATTTTTAATGAATGGTTCTAATAACTTAACTAGAAACCCTGCTAGTTCATGATTGTTTGTAAGAACTCCAGACACTATAGGTCTAGCAGGACAAGTATCTTTAGGAACTCCATGCATGATACCAGAATGAGAGCCAATTTGTTTAAATTTATGATATTCATTCTTTGTCAATAAATTTTCCTTCTTTAATTTAAATATATATTTTTGCGCTTTATATTTTCTAGTTGTAAATGGAACTTTAAGTTCATAAACTTAGTTTTATCAATTAAAGTTCATTCAAATAAGTTTTGTTTAATATAACGATACCGTTTCCTTTATTGGCTTCATAGTCACTATATCTTTATTTGTACTTAACACTTTTATGGTTCTTATTCATAGACAAGCAAAAGTACCCGTCCCCAGTGACGGGAAAAGTTTAAGTTAATCTAAGGATATTAAAAAGATTAATTGTGTTGAACTCTTGGTTTCACTCAGAGCCAAAGATCTAACCTACTTATACCGCCCAGCACGAACATAATTGTTGAGCATTTCAGTCATGCTAAGAGCCACTCAACAATAACATATGGTAAATCTACATTTTCATTATTTAAGTTACGTCACATTTTTAAATGTAAATGATAGTGTGAATAATTCCTAACAGTTTAGTTTAGAATATACTGCTTCCGAAACAAAATTTTGCATCAACATAATTCATGCCTGCTCTCCCGTCATTTCAAAAGTGAATGTTGAGCTTTGCCTGCGTGCGCAGCTTTTCAAATGGAAGACAGAAACGCTCGGACAGACACCACGGTTCGCAATATGTATAAGATGAACCCTGTTGGGCATCAATCATCAGACTGAATGCTTCTTTTTATTTTGATGGAAACAATGGCTACACTTACATATTAGGCACAACACGTACCTCCCTCCTATTTCAAGGAATCACATTTCACCATCTAACTGGCTGCTTTGCTTTAAAACAAGCACTTATGATCTCCAACACGATAGATTGCTTATATAATACTTTCTAATTGTAATAACGAATTTTAAAAAAGGGCCCAAAACTCGAGCTCGAGTTTTGGATCCTTTTTTAAAATTCAATGCATCTTTTGTATGTGACCATGTGTGCTAACTGTTCTAAAAAAATTCATTATAATGATTATAGTTTACGTGACAAGAGCAAAATTCATATGATGACAAAGTATGAAGTTGATCTGAAACTCTCCGAAATCCACATTCAAAACACCATCTTGTCTCAGGAAGGCTGTAATAGAGAAGGCAATTTCACCAAATAAATCATTAAAGTTGGTTATCGTACGATGGGCGTTCAATATCCAAATCAAGACAACCGATGGCGGAACTTGTGTCGTTGTTCATCATGAAAACACAGTCCGAATACTGTGCTCCAAAGGTTGCTTAGTTCGTAAGAAAGGAACTGTAAAGTTAAAACATAGCGATAAATATCTGAGGAGTTGAAATTAGACTTCTTTCCCCAGTCCACAGATAATCTTTCCATAAACAAAAGAAGTAACACTAAAACTATGGAAGATCAAAATCCTTTGGAGACCTATGCATTGATCAGTAATTTACGAATTCTATCCTAAAGCTGATCAACTATCTCTTTCTCTCTGATGCAGTGGCTTCGAACACAGTTAGTTATTTGCTGGAGTTTTTCCCCCCTTACAAGTTCTAAAGCGTTCCGATTGAACAAGCTGTACATACTATTCTGGACCTTGTCAACTACATTAAGTTCTACATCAAGGTACGCTGCTTTAAGAACGTGCTTTTATGTTCCTGTCTCACAAACGAGCGATTTAGAGGAATCTTCACTACTGGTTTTGTCGCAGGGCATCTGGCCATCAGAATGGATACAGTGCTCTAAGTAGTACAATCCCATACAGGCATTAGCAGTCTGGACATCTAGACCGACATTGGAACTGATATAGTCACACATGACTTTTTACTTGAGATTATCTAAGATACAAAATATAGTTATATACGGATTCGTTTTACAAGTTTGTTGATGTGAATAGAATAACAGTTATTGCCTTATCAGAGAGAGAGACGTTCAGCAAAGAGTACAGAAATACACAACAAACAATGCAGTCCACAATACAGTGAAGACTTGCATCAAGCAAATTTCTCTAACAGAAATACACAACAAACAATGCAGTCCACAATACCGTGAAGACTTGCATCAAGCAAATTTCTCTAACAGAAATACGCAACAAACAATGCAGTCCACAATACCGTGAAGACATGCATTAAGCAAATTTCTCTAACAGAAATACACAACAAACAATGCAGTCCACAATACCGTGAAGACATGCATTAAGCAAATTTCTCTAACAGAAATACACAACAAACAATGCAGTCCACAATACCGTGAAGACTTGCATCAAGCAAGTTTCTCTAACAGAAATACACAAGAAACAATGCAGTCCACAATCCCGGGAAGACTTGCATCAAGCAAATTTCTCTAACAGAAATACGAAGCAAGCAACACTGTTAATACTGTTGTAATGAAACTGGAACATACTAGTAATTAATAATACTTGTAATTATCACTATGACTTGACGAATATATTTCTGTATAGCATAATAGCTGTTCAACACCATTCCATGGTGAAAAGTTGGCTTTTTCCTCTAAAACTGCCCCCAGTGGCACAGCGGTATGTCGGCGGACTTACAACGCTAGAAACCAGGTTTCGATACTCCTGGTGGGCAGAGCACAGATAGCCAATTGTGTAGCTTTGTGCTTAATTACAAACAAATAAACAAACTATAAAACTCATGTTTCATATATTTTATATTATTATTACTTATACACGATATATATTCAAGTATTTACACATTTTTTGTATTTGATATATATATACACACTTTTCACTTAAATTATTTTAAGGCACCTGAGCAAGAGCTTCATGAGACTATGTTGCCTTCACAGGGTTCTTAAACGTTAACCAGTTAACGATTTGTTCACCATGCCTGGGGAGGACCCGGTTATCCAAGTCAGACCTGTGATATATTCCCCAGCTCTTCCTCCTAACCAATCAGCAGCTAGAATTTTTCAGTCTATAAAAGAACAGGTCAGTTGAATACTTCAGAATTAAAAACTCCTTTTCCTATACCTAATAACATTTTGACAAGTTATTATTATTATTATTTTACCAAATAGTAATTAAGAACTTCAACCTGTTATTTATGGTTGCAAAGGTTTGTATCTTATAAGAAAAATGTATTATGATCTTTTTTTTTTAAAGACACATTCACAATATAATTAACAGTAAAACAGGAAATGTTGGCGTGTTCTTACTCTTTGTGTACATTGCAAACGGACAATTTTGTTTTCTTGCTTGATGATACACGATTATTTGGGCCATGTATATACAGAGCTTGAGAACGTTACATTAAAACCATTTGGGAGTCTAACCACGTCGTTACACTCCAAAATATCACGTCCAGTCATGCTCTCTCGGACGACCGTGTGTCTTGACAATAGCCTTGCAGCGTAGATTTCATTCCAAAAAAACCCTATCGTAAGGCTGTCATTTCTAAAGCACACCCCTTCTCCTTGAATGCTTTCCATAATCTACCTAATGTACTAGGACGACGGCTTCTCAGCGCCCGTGTCAACAATCTGATTTCCGACCACACAGCAATTTATAGTCCCTGCGTTCAGCGATTTGAACAATATTTCTACATATGGAATAGCATTAATACTCGTTTTACTCTACAGGTGCTTGAGGTATGAGACTGTTAAACGGATATGTCATGGAAGTAACTTGTGTACAGCGACTTGTGTCGCTTTTCCAGACGAAGATTCTTCTTTATCATGTTACGTACTGTTGTTTAGACCATGTGGACGACTTATGTCTGTTTGTTTGTTTGTTTTTAATTATGCACAAAGCTACACAAGGGTTATCTGTGCTCTGCCCACCACGGGTATCAAAACC